CTTTTATATTTACATTTTAGATTAGTTTTAAATATTTAACTAAATATTAAATTTATTTAGCTAAACGTTATTTAAATATTATAGTTTTAAAAAACAATTAAATAAATGTACATGCTAGTATAATTTATATAAAATAATTTATAAAAATTAAAATTAAATTAAATTTTTTCGCAACTAGTTATTTAATTAAAATATAAACTTACAAAAATATTTTAGCCATAACAACAAACAAAATGATTTTTATTATTGTAAAGTTGTTTTATAATAAACTGTTAAACAAAATATTTTCTAAAAATCCTAAATGTTTTGTCACTATAATTAAACACTAAAATATAAATAGTAAATGCTTTAAATTAAATAATGTGTAAAATTAAAGCGTTTTTAAAAAACAAACAAAAAATGCCATTAAATGAAGTAATTTTTAAAATATTTTGTGTACTTTATATATACTGTATAATATGTAGTATCGTTGACACAATTTAACAATAATTATGTCATTAATTGTTATAAAACTAGAAAAAGATTTAGACATCTTAGATATAAAAATACAATTTAATAGAAAACAATTGTTTTTATTTCAATTAAAAACTTATTATTATTTTATATCAATATATAAATATATTTTATTTGAAACAGTTAATAATTAAATATTATGCAGTCTTTAATATTAATATAATATAGTTATTTAATTAAATTTATAAATTAATTATATTATATATAAATTATACAGTATATAAACATAAAAAAATATGATACAATTAAGTATGTAATGTATTATTTTTATTATTTAATTCATAATGCTTAATAAATATTATATTTAAAATAAATTATTAAAAATGATATTATATTTGTATATATTATTCATAAATAGTATAACATTTATTTATTATAAATAAAACTATTATATCTAAATTTTATTAATTCAATGATTTTAATTACAAATATATGCAAATATGTAGATAACAAATTTGCATAAACTACACAATTATTTAAATAGCAAATTGTAGATATGATATAATAAATTCATAAATACAATATATATATATATATATATAATATTTCATTATATATAAATTAAATTATTGCATTTCTATTTCATAATAATTAAAATAATTAATTGAAATTATATACATAATAAATATGTTATAAATAGTATTATTATATTAATATTAATTTCTATAATTTCTTTAATAAAAATATCAATAACAGTTTTTCCTCGTTATATGTCATATTATAATTAAATTTTATGTCATTTATAACACAATAATAAGTCAGTTATGTTGAAAATATTAATTAGTATTTGTTTTCTAATTAATTAATTAAATAATTAATTGATATAAAATGTTTTTCACAATAAAAATTGTCTAACAATAATTCAATGATAGATAAATGATAAATATCCGTTTTTAATTATTTATTATTAATGTATATATGTATAAATGCAACAGTTATAAAATTAGTTATAAAGTTAGTTAAATTAATTAATAACAACAAAATTACACGACAATTGAAAGCTGTACACAAAATATTATACATACATAAATATCTTATATATAAATGTAAAGCAAAATTTCTTGTATTATAGATAAATTGAAATCTCATAAATATACTGTATATATATATGGTATATAATAACATAAATCTATTGTAGTTTATTTTGGATATATATATATATATATATATATATATATATATATATATATATATATATATATATATATATATATAATATCTACATTTATTGCATACATACAGTGTACGGTGTCTAACCATAAATATATTACTACTGTATACAACAATAAAAATGATTTACCAATGTGTGACACAAAATAAATGAGCCGGGATAAAAGGTCTGGTCATATAATCCCAGTGCTATGACAGTACATAACAACAACAATAATAAAAAAAACCAACAATAAAAAAATTTTGTACAAAAAAAATGAAAATGTTGGCAATTTTATCTAAATCATTTATTATCATTATTACTACTGTATTATTAGTATTACTATTACTGGGAGTGAGTTATTGCTTTAAAAAAATTTTTGTTTGTATAAAATTGCCAATATTTTTCATATCAAATACAGCTTGAAATTGCAAGCTTATCACAAAATTATATAATAAATTTTAATCTATCTATAAATTGTGATAGTTTAAACTGTAATAATACTAGTAAACTATTTTTTTTGTTAAACAAAATATAACTGTATAATATATATATATTAATTTCTATCAAAAAAAACTAATTGCAACGCTTTGTAATACAATTTTAATACAGTTTTCATTTATAAGTACATATACTGTATAAAGTTTTCAATACAAAATTAACCATAAAATCATTAGCGCAAAAAAATAAATAAATAGATAAAATTTGAAAACTAATTCAAATAAACTGACTATAAAACAAATTATATATTGATTTTGTTATAAAATAATAACAATAATAAATATGTTTGTGTAAAAAGTTGCACACATTAGACACAAAAACACACATTAAAAACAAATGAGTGGCAAAAAACTAATTTGTAAAATAAAGCTATTGTTTTTTAGATTTGGATTTTTTGTTTGAAGAGTGTTTTTTTTGTGAAAACAGAAAATATGAAAAATGACTATTTTTTGGTGAATGTTTTTGTATCGTAAATGAAAAAAAACTAAATAAATTACACACAAAAATAGATAAGCAATTTATGGATTGCCTACTATAGACAATGGGGACCTGCAAATTGGGAACTCATATTATATCATACGATATACTTTATTAAACTCTCTCTCTCTCTCTCTCTCTCTCTCTCTCTCTCTCTCTCTCTCTCAGTATATGTATGTATGCGATGATTAGTTAGTGAATTGAAGCGATTTGGTCGACACATAAGTGCCATAATTTATCATTAAAAGCCATTGCTATTGATTTACTTTTTCACATATACTAATGGCAGTGTCAACCATCTTAAATATAGATAGTAGTATACTACTATATATATATAATATACACATTATATATATATAGATGTTTAAACTTAAAAATAAAATTATATCACATATACATATTTTACATACTATACATATAATACTGTACTACTACTACTATGTAATATATTTAAATTGTATTATAAGTCAAACAATGTTCACTAATATATATATACAGTATATCTGTATATATATATAGAGGATATGTCTCGTTATATGTATTGACATTTTAGCCAAAAGTGCAAATACATGTCACAGTTTTTATAGTAATGACTTACAAAATACAAGTTTTATAATATTATCAAAAAAAAATCCTTTATATATATACATGTATATATATATATATAGAAAAATTTATATTAAATCATCTCAAATATCACATGCAATTTTTATACTGTAAGTCTACAAAAATTTTAAATGGTTTGAAGGTTTATATTTAAACTTTTTTAATATTATTGAAGTTATATATATATATGTATTTAGAATATTACTTCCTATTTTAAGCGACAAAATAATAAAAAAATTGATGTATAGTAATATTGTAAATAAATAAATAAAATAAAAATTTCATACAATGATTGCCAAAATTGACGAGAGATTTGATGACAAAATCAAAAAAATAATAAAACTTATAGAAAATTGAATTTTCACTATTAATATTTGACAGTAAATTTAAATATTAGAATTTTTTTTTTATTTTTTTCTATAATACGTGATTATACATACATATTATACATGAATATATAGTACAGTATATATATATATATATACTGTATATTGTGTCAAAAGTCATGAAATATGTTTTTATAGAATAATATAAAATATTTCATAAAATTAATTATTAATAATTATTAAATATAGAATTAAATTATTTATTAATATTTAAAATTATACGATAATATAATAACATATAATAGATTAAATACTGTTTTTAATTTTTAAAATGTAATAATTAATTATATTTGTTTTACTAGTTATCTAATTTATTAATATATATATACATAAATAATAAATCACATTTTATTAATAAAAATTTAAATTCATGATGTTAAAAAAATAATAATATAATATATTGCGATTACCTACATGAATTACCATTAGTTTAACTCAATTATTTTGAATGTTATTATACAGTATATGTACCCAGACTCATTTTTTGACACATACACATTACATATGCAAATTTATGATAAAAATTATATTAATATATACGGAATATAATAACAAAATCATATTAGCATTATTTTATGTTATATAGCATATGATATCAAATATTAATCAATATTACGTGTGACAGTTTGTCTACAATATCATCACACAAACACACACACACACACGGGTAATATGTATATCATATCATCTACCAGTGCCCAAACTATAGTAATAGTTAGTATAAATACTACTAACCAGTGCGGGTAAAGTAATTTTACATGTCATGAAAAAAGAGACAAATTTGTTGCTAAATATGGTTATGGATATAAAAATACCAGTTTATACTAATAGTTAATATTAGTGTAATTTATATATACAGTACAATATTGTTGTTAATCATATGATAAATATATGATATTATATTTTATTTGCAACAAAAATCGCTCACAAACAAATTGGTTAAGAATTTTGTTATTAATATAATTATCAAAAAAAACCAAAATAAAATTGATTAACATTTCTATTGGTTACAAATTAATAGAAAACTAGTGAATCAGTGAGTGAGTGGGTGAGAGAAAGAGAGAGAGAGAGAGAGAGAGAGAGAGAGAGAGTTATAGATTAGATTTAAACGTCAATTTCAAGTGTGTGTGTGTGTGTGTAGTGTATATTTATAACCGCAAAACAAGCAAATATATCAATCATTAACAATAAATAAATGTCTTAAATGTCTTAAAAGATGACTTTTGGTTAGCGGCTGACTATACATAAGCCGACAGTTTAAGCGTTATTTTATTTTTTGCCAGCAATAGAAAAAAGCGCACAAAAAATAATAATAATATATATATTTTCTTATTTGACAAATCAGTTAATAAATGACAATAACTTACCATTACGTACAACGAGAAGACCATAGGAATGGTAACAAATAGGTCGGCAAATGCCAGACTAACTATAAACCAATTGGTGACAGTTTGCAGTGTCCGCTCCCTATAGACACTGGATATCGGGGGGGGGGGCAAACAATTAATATGTTTTACATTTAAAAAAATCATATTTTTATGAATTAAATTTAATAATACAACAATTTAATACTATATTACAGTTAATTAAATAATAGATAAATGGTATTTAAAAAAAACCAGAATTAGAAAAAGTTTAAACACTAAGAAACAAAAAATTAAAAACTATTTTTTTTATTAATTTTTGTTATTATTATTAATTTTATTATTGATTACAATTCATTATAAATTTTGTTTTATATGTAACTGTTAATAATGTTAATAAATGTTAATAATAGCATATATATATATATATATATATATATATATATATATATATATATCATACCTCATAATAACAAGAATATTGCCAAACAGTGCCAGAATCGGTAGTATCACCAGAAACAATGCCCAATAGACTCGGTCGGGATGTGTGGCCGACGATAGGTCGGTGCCATTGAGCGTACCGTTAGTCCAGAAACAGTCATTTGTTAACTGATCGGTTGGCGAACACAATAATAGTGTTTCGTTTGTCAAATTGTCTGTCAGATTATCAACTAATCGTCGGCTAATATTTGTAACCAAACTATTAGATCCACCGGCGCTACTGACACCAGCACCGGCACCGTCTGGTTCATCATCATTGACGACGGAATCACTGACTAACAAATGATCGGTTAATAGTTTGGATATAAGATGTTGAACTGTTGGCCTGTTATTAGTATATCGATCATTACTACTACTACTGCTACTACCACTACTGTGTCCGGCACTGTCCGACAGTCTATCGCGTGGATCGGCATCAGTACTGGTTGTGTTGTTGTTGGTATGCCTCTGGATCAGTGGTTGGGCAGCAATGGCCACACCGTTTTCATTGGTCCAGAAGGCAAGGGTTACGTTTATGAACGAACTGCTCTTAACGTCATCGATGGTGTTGTCGTCCATTTCCATCATTTGAATGAAACAAATATATGGATAATAATAATAATAATAATAATAAACTAATAATTATTTGGCAGATATTGTTTGGCAATAAAATTGTCTGCTTTTGGCCACCGTTTGTCGTCTTATCATTGCTACAGTTGTTTCAAGTGATAATATCTATCTGAAAAAAATAAAATAACTTTTTAAAAAAATATTAATTACCAAAAAATATATATAATTTATTACTATTAATATTTATTTATATATAAAATTTTATTACTTTATTACTAATATTAAAATATGAAAACAATTAATTTTTAATTATTAAGAAAATTTTATTTTTTTACAATATATATAGTTATTTTTAACTTGATTAATAATATAAATATATATTTATATTTATTTTAACCTACAATAAAATTTGTGTTAATAATAAAAATACTAGTGTTTTGTTGTTATTCTTGTAATATATATATAAAAAACAAGTGTTGAATGTTTTAAGACTATTAAAATAAATAGTGATTTGATATATACATTGTGTTTGTGTCTTAAAATTCATTAATCATTTCAAAAAAAACTCATTGATCTTGACTTTCACTTTAACGTATAAAAACATTATTTTCTAACATTTTTGTAATTATTTAAAGTAAAAAATCAACAACAAAAAAATAATATAATAATTCATTTATCATTTTATTTTGTCAAAATAAAAAATAATAATACTAAGCGTAAAGCATGTGTATGCATTTATAATAATTAATAATAATCATAATAATAATACAATATAATAAATTTAAATATTGTCAAAACTATTTATAGTGTCGATATTAAATTAATCATAGATAAAAATAAATAGTTATAATATTAACAAATATTTATAGATTTTCAAATGTAATACACAATGTATTACACATAATGTTTATCACAATTAAACAAAAAATAAGTTAAATTTTTGTTGACATAAATTCAACAACAAAAAAATAGTGTAAATAATTTTTGTTTCTTTTTATTTTTATTTCTAATTAAATTAATTTAAGTATTAAAGCTCTTATACAACAACAACTAAAAAGTTTATTTGATGTGTTATACAAAATTTTGTTTCATTTTATTTGGTGGAAAAATATATCTTTTAAAATAAAAGAAATTTTGTATTTAAAAAAATACTTTATTTTTGTATTAAAAATATATAACACATAATATTATAATAATAGCTAACAACAAACAACAAAAAAATCTGTTAGACAATCGATTTATTGATAGAAATTTTTTGTTGTTGGTGTTGTTGTAGTTATTTATATTTTTTTGCTGTAAAATATCTTACAATTTAAGTCACGTGCAAAATGTCATCAAATATTTTTTTGTGAATCTCTCTTTCTTTTTTTTTAAAAAAAAATAAGTAAAATACCAAAATAAAATAAAAATCTAAAGGATTTATATATGTATTAATAAAAAAAAGTCTAAATTTTGATTTATCCTTCAATCGTGTGGTGAATTGGTTCACAAAATAAATAAATACATTTAAAATATATATATATATATATATATATACAGCAAATTGAGCTATCATTGATACTTTTAGCACAACAACAACTACAATAAAACAATATCCAAGTAATACTAAAATAGTATAAATTTTACAACAACAACAAAAATAAAACTATTTTTACAAATTTATATATCAATAGAATATATATATATATATATATATATATATATATATATATATATATATATATATTTGTATATATATTCAATATATTTAAGAGTTTAATAGTTATCTATAGTATAGCCTAAATGTCCAATATTTTTGTTTTGTTTTGTTTGATATAACTTTTATAAAACGTTTTTAAAATAAATTCCTAGTTTTATCACATTTTAATACTATGTCCAGTAAAGGTATTCAAATAATTCAAACAACTTTAGTTATCAAATTGATGATCATATCTATTATATACTGTATATGTACTGTATGTATGTATGCTATAGAACATTGAAAAAGTATAGTATTTACAAATTCAACCAAAAATTTGATGATAACATAAATACTAGAAAACAACAACAATAACAACAAAAATAACAACAAAAAAAAGATAGAAATAATGATAAATAATCTATTTATGAATTGAATGTAACGATTTTGTCAATAATGATAATCTCAATGATCATTGAAAACAAATATAAGTGGATAAATGTATTACAAAAATATCCATTGAATGTTTTGAATGTTTTTAAACAACTATATATATAAAACGATTTTGATATATACATAGTAACCGAAATAATGTCATAAAATGTTTTTTTTTATATATTTCAAACTCAAATCACTTCAAAATGATCGGTCAATATAAATATAGTTTTTTTTGTTGTTGAATGTATACATGATTGTCGTTAAAATGTAGTTTTTTTACAATTGAATAAATTGTTTTCTAATGGTATGTATGGAAAATAAATCAAAATATTTATAGTAATATAATATTTATATATATTAAAAATACCAAAGATATAAAATAATTTTACCGAAAATAAATAAATAAATTTTTATTATTATATCTTATGATACATTACAAAATATCAAAATTTTTATTATATGGGATACATATCAATAGATACTGTATATATAAACAAAATCAAAAGTTATGTTTTTTTGAAAAAAATAATTACATATTTTAGATTATTTTTCAATGGTTTATCCATTGGTAATAAAAACAAATCACATTAAGTTTAGTCAAACAGTTATTTATATATATATGATATTAATGTTTTTATTGATTTATAATATTTAAGTTTTTATAAGTACTAATTTTTAAAAAAGTATTTATATAAATTTTTATACAGTCAATATATTATACAATTTAAGTTTTAATCTTAAAATAACTTTAAATTTTTATGCACATTATATTAATGTATATATATTACAATACAAGTTTATTATATATATATATTTTTCAAAATAAAAATATTAGAAATCTTGCAAAATATTTCAAATCATAAAATCTAAATATTTATATCATATTTAAATATATACTTTATTTTATTCTTTAAACACAAAAATACTATTTTTTTTTGTTTTTGTTTTGTTCAATAAAAATACAAATATGAATGTGTTTTACTGTATAAATCAAATTTGTTGTTTTTCGGGGTTACTATTAAATGTCGCTTAAATACAGTACATATTATTTATATATATATTTTATAATATGAAGATATAAATAAATATATTTATTTAGTTTTTATAATACATCTAAATTATTTTTTTTCGGTGCAATTTCGCAATTATTTATATACTGTCTAACAGTATATTCTATGTATAAACTAATTTAAGAGGATGGCTATTACATACAACTACAACAACAAAATAAAATAATAATAAAACATTAGATAAATACAAACTTTACTATTATATGTATGAATCATAAGATATAATATTTGGTGGTATTTATGTATATATATATATATATTAAAAGGATATATCAAATATTATATTGTATGTATTAATAAATGGGGAAAAAACAACAAAAACAACAACAAAAATACTGCACTTAACAATAAATTGTTAAATTATTTATCGTTGTTATATTAATGGGAAATTTTATTCTTGATAAATATTGTTATTATTAGTAGTAGTTTTTATTATACTAAAAAAAATATTGCATAGAATATATATATATATATATTGATTGCATATATTAATGTATATGAATTGAATACTAATTGATATGAACTATAGATTACCAGAATATTCTTTAGAAATTTTTATACTAATTTTGTTTTTAAAATTATTTTTGATTAGTATTAAAAAACTTATCTAATAATATTTAATGATTAGACTTTTTTTATATAAAATAAATATATTAAAATAGAAATTTAAATAATTAAAACAGTTAAACCTTATATTTTAAATATTTCTCAAACTATAATAAAATAATAAATATAATGAAAATATATTTATTGACATAAATATAATTAAAATATATTTATTGACATAAATATAATTAAAATATATTTATTGACATAAATTGATATAAAAATTATTATTGTTATCACAATATATTGATAGTTATTAATAAAAATTACTTTATTTTTTGTAGCACTTTATTAGTGTACGACTTGTGTTGACAACAACACAACTGCTGGTGCTTTCTGTTCAGGAAATGACACGAAAAAAATGAATGAAAAGTTAGTGAAAATATATATATATATATAAATGAAAAGCAGTAGAAAATATGTGAAACAAAATTGAAAGACCAGTTAAAAAGCAAAATATTATATATCAGACAATGAAAATGATTAGAGAGTTAGTGAAGCAAACATTTATGTTGAATGAGATGATAAAGAGAGAGAGAGAGAGAGAGAGAGAGAGAGAGAGAGAGAGAGATACAGAGAGAAAGAGAGAGAGAGAGAGAGAGAGAGAGAGAGAGAGAGAGAGAGAGAGAGAGAGAGAGAGAGAGAGAGAGAGAGAGAGAGAGAGAGAGAGAGAGAGAGAGAGAGAGATACAGACAGATGAAAGTCTCAATTGACGACAACTTTTGGAAAATATTTTTATATTATATATCTATAAAAGTGTGCTTTACTTGCAATACGACTTTAAGGAAAAAAGACAACTGACTGACTACCAGTGCTCTAAAAAAAGGCTTAAAGTCAGTCAGTCCTCGAGAGAGAAAGAAAGAAAGAAAGAGAGAGAGATCGCAATATATATTTACTTTATATATGTGTAACTCTTTGTGAAAATTACCAATTGGTGTGTCTTTTTTTCAATGTTCAACAATAGAGAATAACTAAAGTGTATTACAACTGTTGATAATTGTCTCACAAAATAAAAAATAGATAAAAATAATTCACATTTAAATTCCTGTCACTATTACTACTATATATATATATATATATAAAGACTACTGTTTTCAATTTATGTCTAATTTTTTTTGTTTTAATTTTTGTAGTCATTTGAATAATTTTTAATCAATATTGTAATATAAATATAACTCAATGTTGTGTAATTTAATTCATTTTAAAATAGTAATAGTGATAAA